ATATATATATATATATATATATATATATATATAAACTTTTCAAGGGTATTTTAATCAATTTATATTTTGTAAATTTTTATTTTTATATTTTTATTAAATGCACCTTGCTAAAAAAAATGAATGCTTAAAATTTAAAGTGATTTTGAATTGTAAAAACAAAAATGAAAATTCAAATACAAAATAAGATTGTAACTATTAGATCGGCCCAAATTAAATCAAAACCATTGGCTGACACTGTAGCTGACTTAATAACGGCAATCAAAGGCCCGCTCTCTCTCTCGCTCTCCCAAGCCCCTCTTTTCCTGATCTACACCCCTCCCCAAACCCCCACTCTTGACGCTATGTCCCACACCAATCCCAACTCCCCCTCTCTCTTTCCCCAAGAGATAAGAAGTCTTAGTAGTTAAACTGACTTTTTCTTTGTAGGATACTTCTCTTTGCTTCAAATTCATTGGTCATCTCTTACTTCATATAGTTTTTCTTTTTTTTGAAATTGTTAGAAAGGGCCAATTTCCATTACCATGTGTGCATGTTATTGCTCTTGCAATTTGCTAATGGGGCTCATGATTATAGAGATACTCTAAGTTCATAATGGTCTTTATCTTCCTCATAATGAGAGTCAAATGGAGGGGTGGTTATCTTCCTGGTAATCAGAAGGTCAAATGGAACGATGATTCTGAATTGCATTATGGGAAGACCAATCGTGTTACTGGATGGGTTTATTTGATCATGTTCTTGACAATCTCTCTCTTCTCAAAAAATAAAGATTAAACCTCCCACCAAGAAAACAGGGTAAGAGATAGACTCTTCCTCCATTAACAACAGGCCATTTGACAGCGCTGTAAGTAAATGGAAACTCTAAGGAAATACGGTTTTCGAGGGCTTTGAGAGTGAAATAAGCAAAATTCCAAATGGTACAAGACCCTCTTGATATTCAAAAGGAGATGAGAGATTCTCAGTTTCAAAGATACGGTCGCAATCGAAGGAGAATACTTCAAATATGGGGACACGAAAGCTTTCTCATTTAGGTCAGACATCAAAGGAATCACGCAAGTAGCTTGGGAAGCTTCACAGAGACGGATCTTACGAAGTGGGAAAACCATGATGAGATGTACTCTTCTTACCAGATGAGCGAGATTGAATGGGACGATGTGGGAAGAGGTGGTGAGTTGCAAAAGCATTGAGTTCTCTCTAAACCTATGTTTGCAAAGAGAACTTTGAATTGGCTTGAAGGAAGACACTTTTGAAATAACTCAAAGTAGAAACTTTCAAAAAGACAAAAAGAACTTTTAATGAGATAAATGGAAAGGCAAAAATTTAGTGTGGTGAGGTAGGAGGACCTGCAACTTGGTCCACTGCCCACGCAAACAACTGCATGTCAATGGAATACCAAAGTCATAGTTAAAATTCCTAGATTTCCAATTCATTAAAGAACATGCGTGTGTTGTGTGTGTATCACGAGTATCAAGTTTTGAGACAACAGACTTCTATCCTATGAATATCAGAACCTCTTTGAGAGAAATAAATTCAAATAAACTTTTAAAAGCATGCCAAGCCAAAAAAATTTGTAGTGAATTGCTTCCTACGCTCAATCACCAGGTAAACTTACAAAATGCTTACCCAAGGGCCAGGATTGCTTCAAAATATTTGGAAACACTAATAAACCTGCACGTCAAGATCAAACAAATTTTGTTAGTAAGGTGAATGAATTCCATAAATTTGCATTTGATAAAAATGCAAGTTGTTTTTCTAGAAACATGGTAAGACGTTACTTTTGTAGACATTTTTCTATTTTATTTTGCTGTAAATATGATAATAAGACAGTTATAACAAAAACCCCAATGCCCATTCATTGCAACTGTTGAGGGTGAGACTCTGTTACCAAGAGGTCGGACGTTGACCACAATCCCTCCATCCAAAGACAATAAAAGAAGAGAAAGAATATCACAATTGCTGTGTTTTCAGCATTTTTAATCTTGTCAATCAGAAAGTTATTTAACAAACCTGCTAATTAATCTATTAATACTAAATTAGTAAACAACCTTTATTGTATTAATTTGAACCGTGAAAATTACAATATATCAGAAGTTACGCCAAAGAAGAATACTTAGCCAAAGACGAGTATTCCTTGCTAGCACCTGGGTTTCCTACAGTTCACTAGCCTCATTCCATCTGTCACTTGTTGACATTGGACGGTTGGCACAATGGACTAGTTTTGGGCTCAACAGAAACATAGAACACATCTAAACCAGCAATGCTACAATTGCAATCAACACAAGAGACCAAAAAAGTGCACAGAATAGGAAGTCATGAATAGGTAAGGGTAACAACCTAGAAATACCTTTTTTGCATGGTAATAGTGAAAACCTCAGAATCTGAATTGAAGCCATAGATCTAATCACTTTATGGATGATGAAATGGGTCTCTAAAGTTGCAGTAGAAGACTTTTCCCCCTTCCAAGAAGTTCTACAACGCCAGTTTGAACAGTTATATAAAAGACCTTTCTTCTAAATGATCAACATGTTCGTTGAAATTTCTCTGCAAAGTCTGAGATCATCATATTCTGCCTAAATGCCTGGTACTTTTGTAAACTAGTGCCAGCCCATTGCTGACAAAAGCATTCATCAGTGAGGACCAGTGAACTCAGAGGAAACGGTCCTTTTGGGGCCTTCTTGAGAGAAACCAAAAACTTGTGGCGTGGTCGTATTCTCTGTTCAAGGGATAAGCTGAAGTACGTTGGGTATTTAGTAAGGGATTGCACCTCATTTCGGAGTTCATGGATCAAATATAAATACTTGGGCCTCAGGTTATTCTCCAGAGACAGTGATAACACCTGTGCAAGCAAATTATTTCATACCCAAAGTCAAGGTTATATGAATCGAAGGTTCAAACTATCAGGTATTTTATTAGTTCAATATGCTCACCGGATGGTTTCAATTGGCTCAGCAAATTAGAGTTTAACATAACTTAAGATCCAAAAGTACATCCATTCATTAAATTAAAAATAATAATTCTGAACTTTGGTCGCTTTGACCAAATATAGTTCAATACACCTGAAATTGGGTGAATAATGGACAGGATTCAAACCCGAGCTTTGGGGTGTAATTACAGAAATCTGACCTGTGGAAGCCCAATGAAATGGAAATTTTTTGATAAAGGCACAATCAACTGGATTAGTAAAGGGAAATAATGACACAAGGACAGAGGACACCAACCTGAGTAAGACCAGTTAGAATTTTCAAGACATCAGAATCACGCATCCCTATACTTCTCAAGAAGTTAATCCTTGGTAATATCCCATCCTCAATACTGTAATGGAGAAGTTGTGGATGTTTCTTGACCATTTTCACAATGCTCTCTCTTGGAGCACCCAATTCCCTTGAAAGGAAGCTCATTCGAGAAGTCCATGAATCATCAATCCTCTGAACCAGAATTTGGGGGCTCAACTGCACAACTTTGCCTACATCTGTTGCTTTGATACCCACTTCTTCAACCAGATATCGAACTGTGGGTTTTAGAGATTGCTCCACACTATATGAGAAGAGTGATGGAGCAGCACTAATTATTCTTCCAAGCTTGGAATGGGGCACGCCCAAGCTAAGAAGAAATTGAACATGGGATTTGAGATTGTTTTCTACTGTGTATTCTAGAATTTGGGGCTGCCTCAATATTATCTTTTTGATATCCCTCTGCTTCACACCAAGGCTAAGCAAGAAATCCATCCTTTCTCGTGCCGCTTCCAAATTAATTTGTAGACTAGGCATATGCCTCTCATAGATTTGGGTGAAATGTGACTCTTTTAATCCGAAAGTGCTCAAGTACTCAATCAAGGGGAACCATTTTTCATCGAGATCCAACTCTTCTGACATTTGGCGGATCCTGCTTTCCGTGAATTTTCCGGTCTTTACCTATATGACATACAGAAACTATGAATGTTCATGTCATGTTTAACATGAAAAGCAAAGTTAACGATAACTGAGATAACTGAGATAATATGAAATGTCATGTTTGATATGACTGTTCATGTCATGGTCATGCCATGTTTGATATGACTTGATAACTGAGATAATATGAAATGAAAACTAGCATAAGAGTCACTTAGGAGGTAATCAAGAAAATACTTTTTCCTGGTCGCGTGTGCCTTCCATTGAACCTTGATCCTGTAATTGCTCTTTAGCTTGACCAGCATAACTTGAATTTACTTTACCTTGGGCTTTTTGGACATACTTTATTTCCTGGGATGGATATGGACTGTTACTTTCTCTTGCAATTTTAGGGGTTTTACCTTCCTGCAACTTTCGCAATGACTTGTAGATTCCTGCATCAGTTACTGGAAGTTATTTTCATTTGTACACTTTGTAGTTCAATATGCTGCATGGCCTCTTCTTTTTCATTAAATGTTTTTTAAATGCCAGGTTGTCCATAGCATGCTTAAGAGAATACCCTGTAAACGTTTTGCGTCATTCTTTGATGCAAATCCCAATGGCTTTGCACCTATAAACGAATCGTCTTTTATTTCTTCCATTTCCATAGATTCCTCCTGAGAAAGTCAAAATTAATAAATAAGTATCCGTTCACAGTAAAATTAAGCATCCGCTAAATCATCTACAATATTTAAAGACATAGCACAGTGGCAGATGGTAGGTGTTGTTCAATATGAGGAGCATGGACCAATTCAGTTTCTAGATCACCCATGTCCACAATCAAACGCCCTACTTTCAATTTTATTAATTAATGGAGGCAGGTAGAACACCCTCTAACCTGCATTAAAAAAAACGTGACTAGAAAATCTTGAGAAAGAGAAAAGGTGAAAGAGTAGGAAAAGGGCAAAAAAAAAAAAAAGCGCAAAGAAAACCTCATCCTACCTAATAGATATGTAGACACCCAATTCAGAATAGGAAATTCCTTAAATCCTAAAACCCTAAAAATCCAAACCTTAACCATAGGGACAACACCTATCCTAGTGCACCATAACCAGTAGTCCATAATCCCTAGGGAAACCACCAAATCCAAGTAAATCTATCCCAAATCCTTGGAAACCAATTCAAATCTATCTGAAGATATTTTAATTGATTCAAACTTATACTGGACACCAAGAAAGGCAGAAAAAACCCAGATCGAAACCCCTTCAAAATGTCAAAATTGGATCAGATCGTCACCACAGACCTCAGGAGACTGTCTGGTGCCTCCTGACCAAAACTGAACTAGAAAGGAGCCAGCCATGCCGTACGCGTCACTGGGCCCAGTGATGGCATTGGCCTAATTTCTTCCGGAAACGTATGGAATTTCTAGGGATTTTGCCTTGGCCTTGGTCAAAATTTCTGGATGCTTCTAGATCTTGTTTGACTCCGGATTTAATCTATCTAAAGCCTTAGAGGCCTAATCCTAATAGATTTAGAATTAAGGAGATAAACCTAGGAGTTCTAATCCTAATTGGACTAGTACCCAAATAAAGGCCTGTATAAACCCCCCTCTAGGGTCTTTTAGAACCCAGACTTTTAAGACTTAGAAATTAGAAACCTAAATAGCCATAGAAAATCCTTTAAAGCCTAGAGAAATCCTGAAACTAGGAAACCCCAGAAAACCCTAACTGATCTAATCCTAAGCCAATTCTCCACAAGCCTGGGAAAATAACAGCCTTTTTTTAATTTTTAAAGACGTCCAAAAGGGACAAAGGGGTAATTTTGACCCCCAAAAAAATTTAAATAGATTATGGGGTTTATTTTCAACCCCCCCAAACTTAAAAGAACACTTCCATAAGCCCTTAATCTCTCAGCTATACTTATTTCTAGGAAAAGTATTTTTTGTGGTTTGAAGAAGCATCCTTAACTTTTCTGATCTCATTGGAATTATTTTTAGGGTACTATTGGAGGTTGGAGCATTGGAAACCATGTTATTATGGAACATGGAGAGTTGGAGCCTAGTACTAATACATAGACTAGGCTTTTAACATTTTTAAATTTTCTGTGACTTGAACTTTGAGATTTTGAACAGGCTTATTCTTAACATGCGATATATTTGTATTGAAAAAGTATGTTACAATACATACAAATGCAATAAATTACTGAATGGACACAAATATATGCATATATGTGCGTTTGGATAATACATATTTGTATATATTTAAAGAATTTGTACTACAGGGCACCTGAGGGTTTGGGTGCCCGCCAGGGTGCTGAGCGCCAGGCTGGCCGCCTAATGCTTTTTGAAACCTTGATCCCATGAGTAGGTTTTGTTCCATAATTTCCCTCTTTCACATGGTTATTAGATAGGAAGTAAGGGCTTCCTCAAATCTTCAATTCCTCTAACCTTCTCAGGAGAGTTTCAACAATGTTCAAAAGAAGCTTTAAATTCTTCACAAGGTCAACGCTAGTATAGGTAGGCTAAAGCACAATTTCAGCTACATATGAGTACATTTGGAGGTAACATAAATTGCTTAAAGAGGCAAAATGATGCAAAAGGAGCCCGGGAAATTAAATACGGCCTTCTTTAGGTCTTAAACAAGAAAAAAATCAACAATTATGAAGGAAATAAGGCGGCTGTAAATCAAGCCATGGGAAGAAACACTTTTTTTCTTCTTCATTTAAGAAAACCTCTTTATAAAAAGAATACCAAAGTCTATCGAATGGGACATCCCACTCCCCCTTTCAATACAAGCATTTCAAAAAAAGAAAGTAGAAGGCAAAAAAAGATATCCCTAAGTTGTACCCCCCCCCCCCCCCCCCCGCCCTCTCTCTGTCCAACCCCCCCCCCCCCCAAAAAAAAAAAACAATTACTTCCAATGAATCACTCTCTAGATCATGTAAATCAACCCTTTCCAAACTTTCCTATTCCCTCTCCTAGATCCTCTTTTCCAGGAAATTTTTCTATCTCTGTCTAATTAGCTAACAATCCCCACCAAAATAGGACCATGGAATCTTACAAACTTGGAAATCCATCCACGCACATCCTAAAAAACTAGAACCCATTAATTTGCCCATGACGTAAAATAAAAACCCGTTTTCAAAATTAATCCCAAACAAGCATAAAAAGAATAAACAAGACTAACCACGCCCTATAAAAATAAATTAAAATAAAATTCTAATTAGCCCTATTCTTAAACATCCCATATGCGATTTGCATCATACTCCCTTGGTTGGAAAAAGAACTCGTTTCGAATTTTTGCTGTGGCATCACCGTCCTCCCTTAGTTGATGGTGAAGTCCTACATCCCCACGCAATTGTTGTTATGAGGCATGAGGTTGAATAACCAGGATGCATCTATGATGGTTACCCACTTGGCATATACGATAGACAATGGGCTGCCATTCAATAGATTACATTTGAATGCCCCTGCCAAGGTAGAAGCACTAAAAGAAGAAAATCACCTCCTACTGAAGGGTATGTCTTGAGCATCCTTTTAAAAGGGTCATTCTTCTCCTTAGCTGAAGCGACAGTTTTTTTATGGCCAAACTTCGGTGGCCAGCACTCTCAAATCCCATAAAAGTTTTCTCCATCGCTTCACAACAATAACACAATGTATGCAAAAGACTCATCAAAGTCATGCCAAGGCCGAGCCTGAGGCCGAATATATCAATTTGCTGCATGAGATCATTGAGGATAATCTGCTGGCTGCATACATCAAGTGCATCCCATTGGCTTGCTAACATTGTTGCACCAATAAAAACAAACTTTATAAACCTTAATACTAGAGCACATTGATCAAATAGTGTGAATGTGCGGAGTGGTTGAAGATGGGCAACACGGGCTTGTTCATGAACGAGAGTGTCCCCAACCTTGTATTTCCTCATAGTTTTGCGCATGAAGCTTGGATTAGATGTCGTTATTCTTCCATCAAGCTCTGAAGAACTGATTCTAGCACTTGATGGTGCCACTTGAAAATAAACCATCTTGGTGCAAATATTGTAACTCCACAAACCATCACGATTTTCTACATAGCTACCCAATTACTTCTTGCCCCTTTCACATTAATAAGAGCAACGCATAGTCCTCCAATATTGTCATACTGAAGTTGTATGATTGCAACAACTCTATAGTCAGCCCCAACCGAAATCTCACATTGTCTGTCAACTTCTTGGAAGCTAGAGTTAAAGAGAAGAACAACAAAACCAGTAGAGTCCCCATATTTCAAATGTAGAAGATCCCATGGAAGCCAAGCACTCAATGGTCCATTTGCTATTAGCACCTTAAAAGAGGAGATAATGATGCTCGAGAATGCGAAGAGCTTAATTTAGAACTCCAATAGAATAACTCACAAGATTCTTCATCTCTACAACAGTTAACTTTTCTCAAAAAAAAAAAAAAATTCTTCATCTCTACAACTGGCAAGGTTAACTACCTGTAGATAGGAGCTAACCAGCTTTGGTGCAAGCTGGTGAGAGTGCATTGGCAGCACAAATGCCACCACTAAACCTGATTTTTTGAGTCGATGTTTGCTTAATTGCTTTGATTTTCTTCTTGCTTTTGCTATGCCATTCTGAGATTAGAGGGTACCCAAATATTATGCATCTCATAAGCATCATAACAATAACATTTTGTGCATACCAAAAAATGTTATGTCATTGGTATGCATGTGCAATGTCATTAGCATCAAGCACACATGAGGACAAGTCTTCTCTTACAATCAAAGAACGAACTGTTTGACCAACTTGTGAATGCTCAGATCTTGCATAATTTTGCAAAATTGAGGTGCGGATATTGGGCTTCTTTGGTTTAGGTTTTGGAGGAAGAAGAGAGGGAATAGAGTTGGTTGCCTCACCAAAGCAGAATTCCAACCTGTCCTTGGCCCATGCACTAGTGAAAATAACATCTACTCCTTGGTGAGTATCCCCTACAGTGAACCCACTAGCTAAGACCCCAATGGAAATTATCATCAACTCCTTTGTATGTATTTCCCATGGCACCCTAGATATGGACATGACATTTAGAGACACAATGCCCTTACCACCACCATCACCAGCATCATTTTCCCCTATAGATTGTCAGATTGAGAGTAGAGCCAAACCTTCCTCTTTGGAAGACCAAGGTGAAATCTCTTCACTCAATGACAAAAAGCTAGTCCATGTTTGGCCATCAATATGTTACTTTGATCAAAAACCACTACCTCTGTTTTCTCATCCAATCCCAAATCCCCTTTGACAACAGTTATAGGCTACTCTTCCTTGTTCATTAAAGTCATTCACTTGCAAATTCAACATTGTCTTTAACAGAGATAGTGTTAGAAGTTAAAATTTCCTTCTGATCTACACAATGCTCAATTTCGCCATTAACAGATTTAAAATCATCCATCCTTCTATCAATAAAATTGTTAGGCATATTCTCAATTATCTTTTCTCTTTCAGTAGATTGATCTATAAATACATCCACCATTTTCTCATTAGATTCAAGCTTTTTTGTATCTTTCAATGCATCAACCTCTCTAGTGACAAATTTAGGATTTTCTTTTATTAAAAAATCACACACCTTTCTCTATTTAGTTGTGTGATGCTCAAGTCGTATATTTGTGATAGGGATAGTAACTCCCCGGGTTGGAGGTGTCAGTCTCCTAACCTAGGATGATTCGGCTCCAAGGATGGATCTGGATGTACTAAAATTAAATTCTTTCTCTGCTTCTCTCTATATTGATTTCGGTCTACTCCCCTATGCCAATCACATTAGCATTGGGGTTGTCGGTTACCTCACATCGATGCCATCGTGCTTTGAACCCATAAGTGCAATTGAACACAACATCAGGTCATTCCCACTCAAACTTGTGCTCTAATTTACACCGATCTCTACGAGAACACGCATAATATGGATCTAACTCCGTAGATCTCATCTTATTCAATATGCGTTATTGCAATCTTTCTTTTTGCGACAACTTCTCAATCATCTTCGTTAAGTTGTCGATTTTCAATCTTTCTTTTTGCGACAACTTCTCAATCATCTCCGTTAAGTTGTCGATTTTCTTGTATATTTGGTCCTGCTCAACATTCCTACAATTGCGACCTCCACGACTAACCATCGCAGTTGCTAACCCTTTTTGAACCATGCTTTGATACCAAATGATGCAAAAGGAGCCCATGAAATTAAATCTAACCTTCTTTCAATCTTAAACAGGTAAAAATTCAACAAGCATTGAAAACAAAACTCTCTACAAAAAGAATACCAAAGTATATCGAATGGGACATCCCACTTCCCCATTTAATACAAGCACTTCCAAAAAGAAAAGCAGAATACAAAAAAGGTATCCCTAAGTTGTAGCTTCTCTCTCTCTCTCC